TAAAGGAGTTTGGCACATGGAACAATTTATTATATTTACATATATAATTTAATTTTAAATAAAAATAAAAATATTATAACTTTTACGTACTCTCTATCCGATGGATGTGCTCTGATTGGGTTGGCGAGGAAGAAACCAGCGAAAGATAATCAGGCAAACTGGACTCCGGTGGGAAAGGTTTCTGACAACGGAGGAACACCACCTTAAGAGGCTACAAAAGCTTTTCCTAGACTGATCTCCATGTATGGAGCGGGTGTATAGATCCAAGTGACAAAGGGGTCGATAAGGTTTCGATGCTGGTCGAGAGTGGATGAGTATACCAAATCATAACAGTCCGGTGGGTCCAGAGGATCCAGAGAGCTTGCCTGAACATCATGTGGTTTTGATAGAGCGAAGACCACCAAAAGAAGCATTCGAGTCACATACGACATGATACAGTAGCTAGAGGAGTTTGTCGAGGGTCCTTCTCCGAGGGAGAGAGATCGAGGTTTGAAAGGTTCTCGCCGGAAGGAAGTCGAGGCGAAGCTTCAGATTTAGTGAGCTTCACTCTGGAAGGAACGGCTGGCAATAGAGGAGTAATGTAGGCGGATGTCCATGTCGGAGCTTTTGCTCTTCTGATGCGGCTGCCTCTTGTCCCATGCCCGAGAGATAAATTAGCTAGGTAAACTCAAGAGTGAAAATTATCATTAGATCATATCTGAAGTATTGCACGAAAATGTGCTAGAACCTTTGATTGGTGTTGATATTAGAAACCATGTGAAGTGATGTCATCTCTTCATGAATTAGAGTGTTATCCAGGAAAATCGGTTGAAGAAATAAATAATTTTATTTTGAAGATTTCTTATTTTGAAAAAATAAATTTCAAAGAGAGGAGGCGGTTTCCTTTTTCCGATCTGAGACCGGATTTATGTTTTGATTTCTTTAGATTTTCTTCCGGCGTGTCCGGACTTTTGTTTTTAATCGTGTACGTTCCGATTTAGTTCTGATTTTTCTTTTCCGTTTAACGGATCTAGTTGTTTGCTTTCTTCTTCCTCTATGGTTTCATGTTTATTTCGATGGCTCTTTGGCCATATCCTTCTTCATCGAGTCCACAATTCTCTCTACTTAGTAGAATAAATCTTCATCTCCCAATGATTGGGCCTTTAGGAGATTAGATGAAGTATCTATTTAGTGATGGAGCGTCGTGATTTTGGGAATTGTCGGAGAGGCATACGTGTTTTGTCAACGATTTATTTCTCCTCTTTAGAAATTCTCTGAGTTAAATATGAGGATTTGGCTCTTCTGTCCAAGATGTTTCAGAGACAATTGAGGAATGGAGCTTACAAGAGTGGTTCAAATAGAGCAATTTAGGAAGCTCTGTGGCGGTGGCTCATCGGAAAATGTAACTGGGAAGATAAAACTTGATCTAACGATGGAGTCTCCGACTTCATACATGAATGCCACATTGCAGATACCCCTTTCATCACCAGACACATGAAAGCTGATATGTATTAGGTTTTATTTTGTGTTAAGAGTTTTTGTAAAAGGTTATGTTAAACACTGCTCTATTTAGCCCATTGGGCTCTCATCTCATAATAAAATTTTTGGCCGACAAAAAAAAAAACTTTTGAATTCCTTAACCCTTACACCAATTTAATATGTAGAGTTGGAGACATTCACACTTAAAAAGTCATACGCCAAAAGTCATAAGCCGAGCGTAGAATTAAATAATTAAATATAGTTTTAATTGATTTTAATATTTAAATGTGTATGATAAAGTATATGATTTTTAATATTTATAAATTTACAAAAAATATATACATTGTGGATAAATGTAATAAAGTTAAATTTTGTTAGTCTACAAAATCCAAGATTAGTTATAATATTTTTATCTGCAAAATTAATCAAAATATATAAAAATGTTATTTATTTTAATATATTTTAACTATAAAATTAATTTTTATTATTAGTATAAATTATATGGCATATCATAAATCAGATAAATTTTAGAGTAATAGGAATATGTCAGACATAACAAACTAAAAACAATACTTGTTTTCCAATAATGGAATGTGAATATTTGTAAGCCTAGTTATATATATATATATGTAACAGAATATCATAATTAAAATATTTGTATATATCAAATTAATCTAAAATTCTAAATACATATATGCACAATAAATAATGTTGTTACAAATATAATAATAAAAAGATTTTTAATATATAAATAACATGAAAATAGATGATATGGTAAGTTAAATATTACATTTAGTTGAATTTAGATTTGTAAAATATGTATTAATAAGTTTATATTATAAAATTAATGAGAATATTTAAAGATTTTCATATACCACATAATTTTAATTGAAATGTTCTCATTGGGTAATTTAAATAACATATTCCTTAAAACCTCTTAGGATGACACCTATGATTTTCACTTTGTGTCTCCTCTATTAATATATAGACTAGATTTTGACCCACGCCAAGCGTGGGATTAAATTACTAAATATATTTCTAA